GAATGATATTGAAAAACTCTTGAAGTCATTCTTTTTGTGTTGAAACTCAAAAATAGCTACTCATTTGAAAGCTTGTTGGTGAGAAATTTATAGCTTTTGTTGGGTATTTGAAGTGCAAAAATTTGAACAGATTTAATTGAATGTTACTAAAAATTGCTTGGATATTGCAATTGACGCTAGAAATTGACATTTAACAACTGATTTCTTAGTTTGAAGATTTGAGTTGAAACCCAAAAAAATATATGAAAGAGTTCTAAAAAGCTTGAAAATTTAAAAATCGATTTTGTGAATCTATGGCCCCAAAACTCAAGCAATGAACTCGATCCTTCAACACACAATTACAACTTCAAACAAACTTCAACACACTTTGAAATTGAAGTTCCAAAGTCCGAACAACAACTCAAACAAGAACAATGGAAGAATTATATTTGATTTTCTTGTTGTGATAGGGATGAACAAGGAAGAACAACATTATTGAGAGGAATGTATTTTTACCATGTTGGACTGTCATGTCAGCTCTAATGACAAAAATAACAGTATTTGTGGTCCAAAACATAGACGGCAGGGGTAGTTTTGATCCCCAAACATAATTAAAGGGTATATATGAGCTATTTCGAATAGTTCAATGATAATTTTAACCCTTTTCCGTTTAATCTATTATGTGTTGTCATGATTTTCGTTAGGTTAGTTAAGAATTGTCATTCAAAAGAATTATAAGAGTTGTAGACTGTAGTTATAGTGTAGAAGCCAACAATTGAGGATGCATAATTCTTGATTACTCCCCGTACTCATCTTTTCTGCATTTTGTGCGGGTTTGGACCCGAGTATCAACGGGGTTGTATGATTCCACCACTAGTCAGAACACCAGGTCCCTTGACTGTTCTAGTAACAGAAAGTAATTTAAATGTTTAAAGTAAGAACACAAATGTTTACGTGGAAACCTCCTTACTCAAGGAATGAAAAACCACAACCTATCAAACATGATTTCTTAAAGCTCCATTAACTTCAAGCAACTTGTGAATACAAACTCAAGTACTCACAAAGGATTAAATTCTTAATCCTAAGCACCTTGTAACACCTATATTACAAGACACAAAGAAATAACTCTATTGCTCACTATATCAACTACCTCTAGTTAACATAGACTTCAAGCAAACACAACTAGGCTAACTCTAGCCACAAACTCAACTCACAATTCTTTAAACTGACATGATCTATTATCATTTATAATATAGGAATAGATCTACAATATGAGAGCACAAGACAATAAACTCAAATAACAACTTAAGATGCTGCTAGCTGCTACACTCAATCAGGTCCCTCGCTGCGTGAAAAAGTAGTTCTTCCTTGAAATTGACTTTTGCTTTTGAATAATCTTGGTTTCAAAACATATATATTGTATCAGAGAGACAAAACAACCTAGTAGCACGCCATTGATTGAGGACTGTTGTCCTTTCCGTGCCTCTGCTGCAGTGCCCACTAACCACTGCAGTTTTTGCAAGCTGCTGGCTTGTCCTGTAAACGAGAACTCAGAGGACCAGGTCCTTTTACATGGTCCTCTTTAGCTTGTTAATTCATCAAAACCCAAAATACAACAAACTATATCCTATGTATTGAGGTTGCTACACATTCCACTGTATTCTTGACATTTTTTTTATGCCATTGTTCGCTTATTTGATTATGATTTTCTTGATGTGGGAATAGTTTGGTGTCATCACCACTTAGGAAAATTGGGTCGTTAGTCGTTACAATGACGATTCTTCAGTTAGGAACTTTCATCTCTCGATGTATATACAATGAGACATTTGGAAGATACCAATTTTATTAGGTATAGATGTACTGTCAATGCAGTATTTGTAGAATAGAAGGGAAAGAACACAACAATCATGCTATTTGTATCATTTGTATAGTCTATAAGTAGGAATAGCCAGCAAAGGTTTTTCTCTACATGTTACCATTCCAAACTTCTAATCAATGTCTAAATCACAAGGCTCAATACCATTTGGAAGCTCCCACTCAAAGCAATGCACCAACTGTGCCACCATAAGGCGAACGATGGTAACTCCCAACTGCATTCCAGGACAGCTTCTTCTCCCAGAGCCAAATGGTAAAAGTTGAAAGTCACGTCCACGAAAATCTATACTGCTCCCATTACAATAAAAAATGCTTTTAGTGACATTTATTTAGTGGTAATAAACAAATTGCCACTATACATCATATAAACTACTCCCTCTGTCCCAACTTATATGACTTACTTTCCTTTTTGGTCAGTCCCAAAAAAATGACACATTTTTATATTAAGTAACAATTTAACTATAAAATGTCTATTTTACCCTTAATGAAATGATTTACAGCCACACAAATTTCTATCATTCATTTTGGACCACAAGTTTTAAAAGTCTTCCTTTCTTTCTTAAACTTCGTGCCGAATCAAAGTACCTCACATAAATTGGGATGGAGGAAGTATACATCTTTCGGCATTTAAACTTTAGCCGGTATACCAAGTACTTTTCACCGGTAATTAAAATAAATAGGGTATAATCGTTTTTGCCCCAATTCCTTTTCACTGAATTGATTTTATTTATTTTTACTTTTGCCCCAATCCTTTTTACTTTGAATATTCCTCCGTCTTCTCCCTTCAACGAAAACTCAAATGGTCAGCAATGGAAATCAACACGACGGCGGCGGAAATCGGCACAACAGCAGTGGAGTTCGGCACATCGGCAGCGGAGTTCAGTACATCAGTGCTATTGATGAGAAGAAAGACGAATCAAAGCCGTCGACGTCTCTTCACAAGCTCACCGTTAGCAGTTTGTATTCATATTAGCAAATTCATCATCGCCGATTGCCTCATATTCAATCAGATTGAATTCGAACTGTACAGCCAGCCATTTGGTGACTACTAATATCCATTTTATTCAATTGTTGGGCCTTGTATGGGTGTATGTTCTAGAGTTCTATCTTTTATGTTGTTTGAATTGATGCATGTGTTTCTATATCGCATAGTTTGATCTTGTGTTCAATAAAATTGGTGCAGAATTGCAGATAGCAACCAAATTAGCTATTGTGGAGTTCGATTTTTGATCTCCTATTTGAAGGTAAACAACTAAACTTAGTAGTTAATTGAAACTATATTTATTCATATAAAACTCAAATTTTCAATTACTAGGCTAAATCTTTTCGTGATCTCTGCTGCCGAAGTCAGGCTAGTGAATCAATAGAGTGTACTTTTACAGTTTATGCAGTGAACTTGAGACTTCGCGCACTTATGCAAAATCTGATATTCAAGTTCCTAATGTACCTACATTTTATCACTCTTATTTCTTCTAGAAATTCGATGAACATTAACATAGGTATTGGTCTGCTCCAGCTCATTTGCACACTGTACAACTATATTTCATACAATGAGCAATTGTGAATAGAGGATATATATTCCGAAAAGGACTAAGTATCACTTTGCTTGTAATCTTCTACACTTCTGTACGTTCTATTGATGTTACTTTGGGTGTTGAACTTAGAAGACCAAAATACTGGGCATGAGTAACTTGTATGTATCTCATATTATTATGGCTTGTACTTGTTTTTGTATTCCTAGTTCAATCTCGTTATGTGTCAATTGTTAATGTAATACCATTTTGTGTGGGTTCATCATAAATCAATTAACTTCATGTTGGTTGTCAATCCATTGGATCCCTCCTTCTTTATCCAATCTATTTTCTATTATTCTTAGTGTAAATGTCTTATTTCTTTATCAATCAAAAGGGCTCTTAATAGAAGTCAAGTATGTTAAAGGAGTGATTTTGCTTATTGCAAGAATTGGATTATAAAGGATCCTAATGTAGGAATAATGTAATTTTATTGTTTCACTAGGTTAAGTGCTTTTAAGAGATCAAGATGGAGGGGTGTAAATGCTAATGTCTTGATGGAGTATGTTGAATTTCAGATTTTTTCGAGTCAAGGCAAGTGAAACTAAATAAAACTACATGTTCTCTTTATATATAGGTAATTCGTTGATTGAAGGAATGAAGAGCAGACATGAGGATACATCACCATGATGAAGAACTTCCTTCAGGTTCATTCGTAGCTACTTAGTGATCTTCCAAATGTGTCAATTCAGAGCTCAATCTTAATATTCTCCTATACTGTGTTAATTACAGCATCACAAGTTGTTGTATCCGAGTTTGTATGATAGTGGGTGAGGTTGTATCTATTGCTTTTGATGGTGCTCTTTGAACAAAAATTCTTATTATTGATTAAGGTAGTTAACTTGAACAAAAATTCCATTATTGATGGTGGTTGCCAGTTTCAAGTATCAGAACCAACTGTTCTCTATTTGCTGCTTAGTTTGATTTTAATTTCTTGATAAGTCATATGTCAAGCATTGGAGTATAATCAACTAGTTAAAAGTTATTATGAGATTATTAATATTTTCTGAGATTTTGCTTGACGGTAAATGTTTCCTGAACCTTAGTGTTTGAGTTGGTGTGTAGTAACACACTACTTTAGACTTGCCAGGACGTCATATATATGAACTGCTTGGTGGATTTGAAAAGGCATTACTTTAGTTTATTCCTCTTGCTAATGAGGTTGTTGCTTGTCAATTGATTCCTTAGTTGTGATATGAAATATTATATTTGAACTAGGTACATGACGGGACCATGGGTGGTGCTTTTCTATTCTGTCTCTATTTCAAATTTTAGTCACCTAGATCTTAGTGAGTAAGATATGTAATTGGCATGTCAATTTTTTGTCGTCTAACCATCTACCGCTATATGTGTACAGTGGCATACTCATTCAAATGGTGAGCTTGTTCAAGGAATGACTGACACACTGATCCAGAAAGCTGTCACATTTTGCATTAGGGAACAAACACTGGCTTAATTGCCTTATTGTTTCCATTGTTGAACACATTTTTTCTATTTTGATAATTCATAGTTTGTTTTTCCGCTACAAGATAAGAAGTTGAATGTATTAAGATTGTTTGTTCTTATTTTAAGTAAATGACATTGTTTTGAGTTTGATAATTCTTCTTTACTACTTTCGAACTTATTTCTCTTGTGAATTTTGTTTTTGATGTTATAAAAGAGGGTAAATATGTGAATTAAGGTGAATTTAAATGCCACACATATGTTTGTTTCTAAAGTAGCTTTAATGGCAATAGTAAATGCCACTAAATAAAAGTCGCTAAAAGTAATTACTTTTAGTGGCAATAATGAGGGTCTTTACCGGCACCCGACATAAATGCCACTAAAGGCTTTAGCGACATTGGATCCAATGACATTTAATCAAATGCCGGTAATGTATTTGTGGCAATAACTATTGCCACTAAAAGAAAAATCAATTGCCGCTAAAGGTCTCTTTTGGTGTAGTGTCCCAACAAATCTCTCAGGAAAAAACTTCTCAGGGTCTGGCCAAACGTTTGGATCCCTATGAATTGCGTAACAATTTATTATGATTCGGGATCCCTTCTGTATGTGGAATCATTGACTACACAATGTTCCATGGCCTCATGAAAAAATAGTGGCACTGCAAGATGCAGCCTCAGGCCCTCATTTACAACCATGATTAAGTAGTTTAAGTTCTCCAAGTCCGATTCTTCTACCATTCTTTCAAGGCCTACCACTTCTTGCAACTCGTTTTGGAGTTTCTTCATCACTTGGAGATGCCTAAGAAGTTCGGTGAGTATCCATTCTACTGTTGATGCTGTAGTGTCCATTGCAGCCAGAAGCATGTCCTGTATATAAAAGGAAACAGGGGAATTTGTTATAAATTAAGCTTATACTAGTATATATGACTTATAAATGGGATGAAAGTACATATATACCAAGAGGATAGCTTTTATGTGACGACGGTCAAACTGAAATTCTGCTTCTCCAGATTGCATTATGTCCATCATGGTGTCCACAAAGTCCTTGGTTTGATCCCGATCATGATACTCGACATGTTCATCAATAATCCTCTCAAGAAACTCATCAAACACCTTTGAAAGATCCTTGAGTTTGCGATTGAGACCCTGGAGATCAATAACACCAAGGAAAGGAAAAAAATCTCCAAGATTTGGTGTGGATGCTAAATCCACAACATCTTGAACAATAGCTTTGAATCGCCTCTTGTCTAAGTCCTCATCCATGTACTTCTTTCCAAACATCATCAAGCAAGTCAAGTTAGCATTCAAGGACAAAATCCTTGCACTAAGATCAACAACTACACGATCATGAGCTTCCTTTTAATCGATTCAATCAGAAGTTGAACTTCTTGCTTTCTCATGGATTGAAATGAATTGATCTTGTGATTGCTCAAAAGGTGCACAGTGCACAATTTGCGCATGTTGCGCCAATACACACCATACTTTGCAAATATCAAATTCTTCTGTCCATAAGACAAATATTGAGATGCCTCACTATGAGGCCTACTAGCAAAGATGTGATCATATGTCTTGAGGAACTTCTCGGCTGCATCAACGGATGAGACAACAATTGCAGGTACTAGTCCCAATTGCACATACATAATAGAACCATGTTTCTTGGCTAGTTTTTGTAAATCTTTGTGTGGATTTTTACCAGCTAACAAATGAAGATGTCCTAAAATGGGAAAGCCTGTTGGACTTGGAGGAAACCTTTTCCTCTTGTGAATGTTTAGTAGCACATACAAGGCATATACAAATAGAAAAACCACTAGAGTTCCCCATATCAAAGTCACTGAGTTAGAACAAAATACTCTAAACCCCATTTAGTTATATTTACAGGCACAAGTCCTGTATTTTAAACCACACACTTTGATAGTCTTATCCTTTTAGAATGCTATTGCTTGCTTCACTTATTTATCAGAAAAGGCTCAAATATGCCATCAATTTTTTTAAAAAAAGACTTATTTATATTATCCATTAAAAGTTTAGTTCATCTATGCAATTTCCATATGAAAAAAGGCTCATTCATGCCATTATGGATTAACAGAAAACCCATCTAGTTTTGCAAAACCATTTTATCCATGTGACGAATGATGATTCAGCCACGTCATTAATTTTTTTTGTAAAAATAATAATCAGCCAAATTTCTAAAACCGATTTGATTTTTAAAAAAAAACCACACAGATTATAAACCTACCCGAAAAAATTATGTGTATTTTTTAAAATAATAATATTTATAAAAAAGTGTCGTTTATTTTTAAGTTAAAAATTTTCCGATAGATTAATTTTGAAGTAGAATACATCCATCATGTTACTCCGGAATTTGAACGTTCAAATGGCTAAAGTAACGACACAAGAATGATAGGTAAAAGTTTTAATAACAACACACATCTCAAAATAATAATTAGATATTTTTGCAATTAGAAATGTGTTTATTCCATTAAGAATACAATTATCACAACATAAAAAAGGGATATCTTTTCAAATTCGCTGTGAAGCAATTTTGTGAACGTCTTTGCTTCTACGAGGACAATAAAATAAAAGTATACGGCCAAACAATTCCTAACGTTGCATTTCACTTGCAAGTAGGGGTGGGCATTGTATGGTATATACCTAATTACTATACTATATCGAAAATTTTAATACCGTGATTTTGGTATTATGGTATTTGGTATGATATATGATATATAGTAGACATTTTAATTTTTTTGGTATTCGATACGGTATTTGGTATTTAGAAATAATAATATAAAATGTAACCCATCATCTTAATTACCAAACTATATTTTGCTATCCAATTTTGCAGGTTCATCGAATGTCTAACTATTTGACATATAACAAAAAAGCTATTTGAATAGGTTGATTATGATACTCATGTAACACCTCAAAAAGTTCTAAGCTAAGACTTAAATCATTCTTCAGTTGCATATAACATCATATCACGTGATTTTTAAATTGTGCTTAGGTGTTAAAGTGAATTCTTTAGTGTGGAATAGCTTTGGACATGAATTAAGGTCACAATAATCCACTAGCACAAAATTGAGTTGAAAGCTTCCTTATAAATTAAGTTTTGATATAAGCTTCTATTTAGGTCAACTTCAAACGATCATATCTTTCAGCAAGTTGATGAGTCGATAATTTCGACTCATTTAAGGCTTGTTATTCAACGATTTAGTGTCCTAAATGCCTATTTTTCACTCATAACTACGTTAATATGTTGATATGCAACAATGAAAGCTTAAGAGTGAGGCAAGAACATTACAATGCGAAAAGCTGAAGCTCGCAAAAACCACTCAGTGACTCGCCGAGTGGGCCTCCATCTCGCCTAAATTTTCAGCGAAGTATCCCATGAACCAAACCAACTTGGCTAGCAAAACGGTGATTCGGCGATGCGCCGAATGGATCGACGACAACGATCAAGCTCGCCAAAAGTTCCAGAACAATTTGATGGAGGAACCAAGCCGAAAGGCGAGAAGAAGAGAAATTCGGCGGATCGCCAAATGGGTCGGCGATCCGACTTACTTCACTAAGTTGACTCTGTTCTGAGTTTTTGGGAACGTATAAATGTAATTTTTAAAAGAAGAAAAGTAATTCCCACATTGTTTACTCCTGGGTTTTTGAGAGTTTTTACATTTTGAACATTGTTTAACATTCTTAGTAGAGTTTTGGATTTAGATTTGGAGATTATAAGATTTTAGCTTCGATTTCACATTTGGGGATTGCAGATCGTTAGCAAATCAGATGGAAATTTTGTTGGTAACGATTTCTTGCTTTTCACTATATATGCTTAGCTAAAACCCCTTACCTTAGGAGTAGGGGTGTACATGACCAGGTTGGTTCGGATTTTTCAAATATCAAACCAAACCATTTGTGTTGGATTTTTAAATCTATAAACCAAACCAAACTAATAAAAGTCGGATTTTTCAATCTCGGGATTTTCTGGTTTTTCGGGTAAAGTATTCATACAAACATATAATTTACTTATACTTCAAGTATTTCTTTAGTCCTACCAAAGTACAACTATCTAAGGTGTTTCTTAAAAAAAAAAGCAAAATATTATATGAGTAATGATACTAAAATATCCAACAAAAAA